GGAGGGTGGGTGCATGTGGTGATGGGAGGTGGTTAAATGTGGGGGCCGTGAGGCAGCGGAGTGGCCACTGGGGGTGAGCAACGGGCTGTGGGTCTTGTCAAGCGTGGGGGGACATGGGGCAGAAGGGGGCTGCCAGGGTTTGGGGGGCACGGGGCAGGGAGAATGGGGCTGCTCGCACACCGGGGGTGGCAGGGGGACAGGGAGAGGCTGGGAGGGGGCTGCGAGTGCCTGGATTTTAGTTTTGGGGAGATGGGGTGAAGGGGCTCCCTCACGGGGAGCGCTTTCCCTAACAAGGGCGGGTGGGACTCAGGTACAGCCTCTTTTCTCTTGTTTAGAAAGTGGCATTCAGAAACTCTTTCCTTTTCTGAGTTATGCTCCCAAAGGCACTCTGAGGTTTAGTAGGTTATTCAGCTCAAAATGCTATAAGAACTGAGGAACAGTGGATAAGTGCTAGCCTTCAGTACAGCTCTTTGCTTAAAGTCTTGCTTCTTTGCATTTTACCACGTTTAAGGTACTACTTTGTTTGGTACTGTGGCAGTGTATCTAGGGTGGTTGATGCTTCCTTGGTGGTAAGGACCCAATTTACTTTCTTAATGAGGAAGTCTGCCCCACTTCTGCTCAAAATAGGGGGTGTATGGCAAGGGTGAAAGCTGTCCAAGTCCATCCTTTGCCACAGAAGGCAAAAGGAGTTCAGAAAATAGAAGTACTTGCGTGTTCATCAGAACAGTTTGTTCCTGTGAGCTGGTCAAGGTGTTTCCTGTGGAGAAAGCGTTGACGTATTGTCAGATTGGTTTCTTACCAGTATTGCAGTGTGAGATTGCAGGTTAATAAATGTAAACTCTCTGCAGTGAGAACATGCACGCAGTCCAGTCTGAGCCTTTACAGATCAGGGACTTGGCAAAATAGCTAAGGATGAATGTGCTCAATGTTATGACCGTATGATAAATAAGCCGTTTCACTTGATAGTTTCATGTGTTTTCAAACACTGCAAGGATGGCCAGGCTTACTTAGATACTGTAGAGGTAAGTATAATATTAAAGCATAGACAGGAATGTTTTAGTTTTATGGTACTTTGATTAAGATACGTTCAGGGTAATGTTTAATTTGCTGAGACATAAAAAGGTTTTGTTTATGTGTTTTGTTTGAGCTCACTTCCTCCTCTCCAACACAAAACCTATCTTCTGTGGGTAGCACAGGAGGTCTTGGAAGTTGGTTTTGGTGAACTGTTTCACAGCAGTGTAGGAACTTGTAGCAGTTTTCTGATCTTTCTAACCTGATTATGGAATTGGTAAAGAACTTAGTGGATTTACAAAATGCTTTTTTAGTTCTCCATTTCATTAGGATGGGAAGTGGCAGGTGCATTTATAAGGTGGCATTTTTTGTGTGTTTACATAGTAGTGGGTTGTATTTCAAAACTTTGAAGCTCGTATTTTAAGATAAATGGTAATTAAGGCATGTACATGATAACATGAAACAAACAAACAAAAAGAGTATTAACCCTTTGTCATTTCCACTGTTACCTTGTCTTTCCAGAGCCGAGAAGTGGAACAGAAAGCTGTGGCCTTTAAATGTTGTTTCTTATGAATTCCAGATCCTTGCATTTAACTACTGCCAGCTGTCAAATACTGTTATCTCCTTAATATGTTTTGCG